TTGCGTCACGTTCGTGTCCAGAGGGTTGCTTGCGTTGCACTGCTTCGCCTTGTGTGCTTGCACATTGGTAACGCATGTCTTGGTGTGCCTTCGTGTGCATGGCAGCGCAATGCGGTGCATCACAACTGTATAATGTTGCGTGGCACTGCGCCGCATTGCCGAGTAAAGCAAAGTGACGTGTGACGCACAACACATCAATTGACATGTCCATGCCCGCAATACATGACAATGCAAACGCAATGCGCGATGATACGCAACGACGTGCAAAACAATGCAATGCAACCACACCACTGTACATTTAGACAGTGATAAGGCAGACCAATCACTTCGACGTGGCGCAAACCAGTACATCTCAACGCACACGAAAGCAATTCAAACCAACATAATTCAATGCAATTCTACATTATACTAGATGTTCGCACCACATTGCGATTCCAGCGCGCAGCATTGCAATGAAATGCCAAGCGATAGGATGCAAACCAATGCCCAATGCAACGCAATGCGTTGCAATGCAAAACAATGCATGACGAAACACTGAGCTGCAGTGCTCCTCGTCGCGATACTCTCGAACGCCAGTGCGGTGCAGATCGAACAAGCGATGCGGTGCAGAGCAAGGCAGCCCAGTGCGAGGCAACACGGCCCAAATCAGTGCACGACGACGCGGTGCAGTGCAGATGAACAAAGCAGTTTATAGCAATCGTGGAATCATGAGGGATCTTTTGGCGTCGCTCCTCCTCCGCCCTCCTCCTCCCTCCTCAATCCTCCTCCTCCTCCTCCTCCTCCTCCTCCTCCTCCTCCTCCTCCTCCTCCCTCCTCCTCCTCCTCCTCCTCCCTCCTCTCCTCCTCCTCCTCCCTCCTCCCTCCTCCCATCCTCCTCCTCCTCCTCCCTCCTCCTCCTACCCTCTCCTCCCTCATCCTCCTCCTCCTCCTCCTCCTCCTCCTCCTCTCCTCCTCCTCCTCCTCCTCCTCTTCTCCTCCTCCTCCTCCCCTCCTCCTCCTCCTCCTCCTCTTTTTCCCGGAAAGGGCGGGGGCCCAGGGTTCTCTTTTACTATGTAAACATGTCCCCCGGTGCCAACTTGAAGGAGGCCGGCGGATTTTTTCCCTGATAAATATCGAGGTCGAAGGAGGCCGGCGGATTAAAATTTGAGGATGTCTCGAGCGAAACGCTTGTTTTTGAAATCCCGATCGATAAATCACAGGGTGCGGGCCACTTTTTCGTGCGTTGAGGATGTCTCGAGCGAAACGCTTGCTCCGCAGAGTTTGCCGAGGATGTCTCGAGCGAAACGCTTGTTTTGCAGAGCCGACCGCGACGCGGAAAAGCGCCCCGCGCGAAGGAATTTCGAGAAGGTCTCGAGTAATTCGTTGTTTTTTTGTACGATTTCTGGAATTTTGGCTAGGTATTCATCGAGCGAAATGCACGACCGCCACCCTAAGCACGACCATTGACCCACACGACCATACCCCAGCACGACCACACCCCAGCACGACCAGACCCCAGCACGACCCCACCCCAGCACGACCCAACCCCAGCACGACCATACCCCAGCACGACCACACCCCAGCACGACCCGACCCCAGCACGACCCTACCCCAGCAAGACCACACCCCAGCACGACCACACCCCAGCACGACCTCACCACAGCACGACCACACCCCAGCACGACCACGCCCCAGCACGACCACGCCCCAGCACGACCACGCCCCAGCACGACCACCCCCCAGCACGACCACCCCCCCAGCACGACCACCCCCGAGCACGACCACCCCCCAGCACGACCACCCCCCAGCACGACCACTCCCCAGCACGACCACACCCCAGCACGACCACACCCCAGCACGACCACATCCCAGCACGACCACACCCCAGCACGACCACACCCCAGCACGACCCGATCGATAAATCACAGGGTGCGGAGCACCCCAGCACGAACCCACCCCAGCACGACCCCACCCCAGCACGACCCCACCCCAGCACGACCACGCCCCAGCATGACCACACCCCAGCACGACCACACCCCAGCACGACCACTCCCCAGCACGACCCCACCCCAGCACGACCCCACCCTAGCACGAACACACCCCAGCACGACCACACCCCAGCACGACCCCACCCCAGCACGATCACACCCCAGCACGACCCCACCCCAGCAAGACCACACCCCAGCACGACGCACCCAGCACGACTTACTCACAGCACGACCACACCCCAGCACGACCACGCCCCAGCACGACCACGCACGACCAGCACGACCACGCCCCAGCACGACCACGCCCCAGCACGACCACACCCCAGCACGACCACCCCCCCAGCACGACCACCCCCCAGCACGACCACCCCCCAGCACGACCACACCCCAGCACGACCACTCCCCAGCACGACCACACCGCCTTGGTTGAGTGGTTGCCTGTCGTCGTGGAATGTTTCGTGGGGTGTCTCGTGGAATGTTTCGCGGGGTGTCTCGTGAAATGTTTCGTGAGGTGTCTCGTGGAATGTTTCGTGAGGTGTCTCGTGGGCTGTTTCGTGAGGTGTCTCGTGGGATGTTTCGTGAGGTGTTGCCCAGTTGGGTATCATGAAAACGTGTCCATGCTCCACATGTCTATATCCCTTTCCGGGTTCGTGGGTCCATCATGTTCTGGAGTGTCGCCGCCGCCGTCGTCGCGGTCGTCGTCGCCATCGTCGTCGTCGTCGTTGCCGTCGCCGTTGTGGTGGTCGTCGTCGTTGTCATCGTCGTCACCGTCGTCGTCGTCG